TTTAAAAAAAGATTTGAATAGTTTATGTCATGTACTACGAAACGTATATTCTGGTTTTTCGATAAAATGTCTCATTCTGTAGGTATTTTCATCATCTGCATTTTATCTGCTTTTCTCTGCTAAGTAACCATGATACTAGCAAACAAAAATGTTTATATCTCAGAAACGGTTGACCTTTGGACCTATGTTTACTAAAGCTTTTTCACTCAGTACAGTGTGCCCTATACACCATATAAATATTGAATGCTTTTTTTTAAGACCCTGTATACATACATATGTTATAATGATCATCAGGTTAAGTTATATTAGGTGGACCGGAAAGTAATGTCGTTTCTTTTACATTAAATCCAAACAAATTTTTTATAAATTTCTATTTTTAATTATTAATTGTATAATCGCTCCCGTTATCAATAGCCTTTTGCCATCTAATGTGCAAATTGTAAATGGCAGATCGATAAAAATCAATGAGCTGATGAACGATAAACAAGTATTTAAAATTGCAAAAACGACATTATTTTCCGGTCCACCTAATATAATATACATATAGATTAATTGTAACGAATTCAGGTCGAGAACTTAGATGGTTGATAATTTAACAAACAATAACAAAACGACAATTAAATATTTCTACTTAAACTAGAGTTATAAATGATTGAATGATGCTTTGATTTGAAAAACAGTCGACACGGATTCTCAACACTGGGAATGGATTTTTGTGTTCGTTCTCATAATTTATACACAGGTACGGGTCAATGTTTGTTTGCGCATTGAAATATGCACCGAAACAGAGTGTACGCTCGCGTTGGTAGGTAAATTTCTCGAGGCAGCTCAAGCTGGATTGTTAATAAGCACGCGTTCCCCTACAGGCATCTGTCGCAAACCAATTCCCATATTTGCAATCGAGAAAGACCGCGTAAACTGCACGAAGCAGAATTAAAGTTTCAAGAGGCTTGGGGTACCTTTGGACGGACTAAACTCGATAATAAAACAATCTCGACATGGTGTATACTTACGCAGGCAGTTTCGAAACTTTTCGGTATTAATAAACTCCGCTTTATCTCTGCATTCTACTTGTCAACTTAATGAAACGATGGAAAGTAGGAAAAGTGTACTAATAAATATAAAACATGGTTATTTTAAAGGTTCCAGACATCGAGACTTATTATTAACAAACATTCGCGACCGCTGATGTGAATTCACGTCATTTCAAATTCTATTCCTAGTTTCAGTTCCAAATTATGGAAATCCTTTTATTTTATACACTGTATATTTACAACATTGATATTTCGAAACATATTTTGTAATTTTTATATTTGCCCTAACGATAACAAATTTGCGAAAAGATTCTAGCTGTTTGAGTGCACTGTAAAGCATATAAACGTTATTAAACATTGACGATAGTAGAATGTAAACAATCATAGTTGATTAACAGACGAAAATATATTTCTGAAATCTAAGTTGCGATTTCTCCTAACAAATTTCTTTTTATTTAATCGGAATAAAAGCCTTTCACTGCACTAATCGATTAACTTCACTTTGGAAAATCTTAAATTTAAATGTCAAAGCACTTGGTATAGTCATAACTTTTTATATTTGCAATAACTTTCTTGAATAATAAAGATTAACACAATTGAACGACAAAATTTCCTTGGTCATTGAATGATAAATAATCTATTTCAGAGACCAGTTCATCGCATTTCTCAACTTTTTAACCGACTTTGAGAAGGAGGAGGTTACTCAATTTGACATTTATATTTTTATATTGTGGAGTTAATCGATTTGTGTAATGAGCGGTTCATATATTGAACTTGTTTTCCTTAAAAAAGACAATATTTTATCGAACATGGATTTTCGTATTATAATATTTATTAAGTGAAGTTCTTTCCTTACACTTCTGTCATATCTTTGAATAAACTGCTATGGAAATAATTACTATTTTTATTAATCGTTCAACTCGTGCACTCTGAGTAACGCAATTATGTGTATAACATGTACACTTGATCGTTTAAAAATGTTTATTTACAATTAGTCCAAATTGTGCTACGTCTATTCTAAGTCCTAAACATTGTTCGGTCAGCTTGTACACAGTGTCCCAGAATTAGTGTAAGTATTGGAAATGGGAGGTAGCTGAGACGATTCTGAATCACAATTTCCTTTACAAAAATGTCGAATGGTGCTTCGTTTTTAAATTATTAACAAAAAACGATCGACCAATCGCAGCGCCCGAGTAACGCGCGCTCAGCAGCGAGAGCATAGCCTCGAGCCAGGATTGGTCAGCTACGCCAGCTGAGCGTGCGCTACTCGGGCGTTGTGATTGGTCGATGGTTTTTCGTTAATAATTCAAAAACGAAGCACCATCCGACATTTTTGCAAAGGAAATTGTCGTTCAGAATCGTCTTAGCCAGAGATGGGGTTATTCATTTTCATAAATATGAATATGAATAAATTCACATCACGCGGATTTGTGAATATGAATATGAATAAATTCACATTTTTATTCATAAATAGCGCGTTGTTCACATTTTTATTTATCATTAACTCTTCATTGAATAACGTTAATCACTTACTTACATTGTTTACTATCCCACACAGAAACGTTTTCACTTCAAGCAACTGGGTATTTACAAAAATCATGTAATTTATACAAATAAACCCAATACCCAATTTCCGGTTTTTACTCTAATTCTAGAACACCCTGTATAAGTCGCATAGGGTAAAACGTTGATACCAAACTTCCTCTCCGATTTCTGTATATTCATGGTTTCATGCACGCATTTTTAGGTAAAAAATCAAACGAATCTATAATCTATCCTATTATAGCTGATTCTATACAGCATGGAAGTTCGTGGCATGCTGTTTCAGATTTCTACATAGGTCTACAATGTTCACTCTACTTTCTTTCAATTCTGAATTCGACAAATTTCATTCGTATCCATTTCGACGCGTCGTTTTTTACTTCTTCATACTTTCTGCTTGAATGCACTACTCTAATAGATAATACTTCTATATTCCAATATTGACACATGATTTATCTTGACTACCTTTTATCATAAGCAAAAATGCTAACACCTGTCATCGTCGTATCTTCGTTGTGCACACAGTGCAGAAGAAGTCGTTCGAAAACAAAATGGTACATGCCACAACGTCTGAAACAAGTTATTCGTCGACGAAATATTAAAATACTGTTTATTAGCAAAGATTAGTATATTAATCAGAAGTTTTTGAAGCTGTCCGAATGTTAAAATAACGTTAAATTTAAACACTGTTTCATTTAATATTTATTTTAGTTGAAACCTTATAAAGTAAACAAATAAACTTCATGCATTTATTAAATAGACTTGACGTTTTAATGTGATATATATCTTAATTGTTTTATCGCACATTCTAAACGAAGTTACGAGGCGACAAAGTGAAAATTTTGAAGTGTCCAATTATTAGAGTTACTCGCTGCATATAGGTTGGAAATCTGATATTTTATCCACTACGCCATATTGTCACAGTTTGCAAAGAGTTCGTACAGTGCGGTAAATATGTAAATACCTGCTGAAACTTTAACCTTAAACATGCATTAAACTATTAATCGATAGCACTTAAAACTTTATATTACTCTCTTTAGCATTTCATGTTCGACCATTATGCAAAAGCTTGGTTAGATATCGTGAGACACAAAGGCAAAGCTTCTTGTTCGAGGGACGTGATACTCACTGTCACAGGTGGAATTGTACCACATATTTATGTGCAAATTGTGCTAAAAATTCTATTGTCATAAAAAAGTAATCGTTATAATAGATGGCAATATACATAGTTGACGTGCAACTATAACTTACTTTCTTTAATAACCAAATTTGTCGACTAGACAATCAATTATTAGAGAGGTTCCCTTGTAAGCATTATTAAGTTGCTTTTTATATCAAACATGTCATATATCGATTCGTGAGATAAACATGCACATACCTAAATTAATCTGTCTCCTGTTATTTTATTACGTAGTTGTAACTTTGGTTTAGATCGATTATTCTAAAAATCGATCGTAGAATCGAATATGATTTCTTATTAGTTCGAATAATCCATACTCCTCTGCAATATTATTTTGAAAGTACTCACGTTTGATTCTTCATCCGCGCCAATTAATTTTAAACTTAGAGGTTTCTTAACTTTCTGACTTTATCTTATTTTTTATAATAGATCTACTTCGTCACGAACAAAAATTTGATACATGATATCGTTAAAATACATATTTGTCCATTTTACTTATTTAAGTTTTACACATGAACACATCGGATTTACGATCGAAATAAGAGCCTTAGCATCTAAAATATTCACGATAACGAGATTTTAAAGATGAATAAATTGGATTGTACGAAGCATAGTCCAAATGGATGTTATTTTTTATTAGAATAAAGTTGGAGACTATCTAGATCACTTTATTTCTGATTTTAACATAATACTAACCGCGTAATTCTACACTTGCTTCCTTACTAATTACCGTATTGGCTCGAACGAAAGAAACTTCAAAAAACAGCGAATTACGTGTGACATTCGCGAGCTAAAGAAAATGTAAATATTGGATAATTCCGGCAACAGTCGAGTGATCCGCTTTCGGTGATTAATCTGTGACGACGGTTAAACAGCGCGCATATTTTTCGTCTCCGCGATAGAATCTGAAAAATGATCGAATGCTCCGAGTCGACGCGTACCCGGGTCACGTGCGTTCGTTCAAAATTTGTATTCTTCAGAGAAATTCACGTCTCCGTTTCGAAATTACCGAGAAACCTGCGTTCGCGTTTTCGTTGAAATTTGCGACGTCAAGGCATTCTTGTGATAAATACGAAACAGAAACGAAAAATAAAGAAAGATATGAAAGAAAGAAAGAAAGAAAAAAAAAAGAAAATAACAAGAATAAACAAAACAAAAAAAATTGACGGCTTGGTATCGAATCGGAAATACAAAGTAAGCTCGACCGCCGCAGCGCCCAGAACCACTAATGTGCTCGCTCGCAGCGCGGACGGCAACTTCGAGGTGACCTTGGCCACGAAGGCCACCATCTACCATCAAGGATTGGTCGAGTGGAAGCCACCCGCCATTTATAAGTCATCCTGCGAGATCGACGTGGAGTACTTCCCATTCGACGAGCAGACCTGCGTCCTCAAGTTCGGTTCGTGGACCTATGACGGCTTCAAGGTAAACTTGCATGGTAGCCGCTAAGTTGCGTGGCAAAGAGACCCACGGGTCCTCCGCGACGTGGATCGAGAGCTCGTGATACGTCGGGGATGATCCATCTAGAGCTTAAGATTAGACTGTACGCGAACGATCGGCTCATCGTGTGGATTTCAAAACTCCGCGGTGGAACGCGCTCTGGAGCTTGTATGTTTTCGAAATGTTACTGTCTGTGGGGGAGTCGAAAACCACGATAGGAGACGGATGCTGCCAGATATCTTTACGCGAAATCGATCGCTAGGAGGGAAACGTTTCAACGTGAAAACACGAAAGGATGGTTTGTCGAAGGGAGAACAGAGGGTGACAAAAATTCCAGGTATCGAGGATTTCACGGGTGACTCTACGTTCCTAGATCGATCGAGACCTGTTACAAAAAATATACCGCGAAATGTACTTCGAAATCTGATTTGAAATTCAAGATTAAATTTGGTTAATCGTATCGTATCCTATCACTCAGTTTTCTTGAAACATTTTTGGAAATTGTTACGTTTGGTTAATTGACATATCGACCTTTGGCATACACGGTGTTCGGTAACCGGTGGTACAAGCGAAGAGGAGGTGATTCTACATGAAAAAATAAGTCGAAAATATAGAATACAAATTTTTCATGTGAGGCTTTGTTTTCGAGAAAATTGACTTTGAATTTCCGCCGGGTACGGGTGCACTTGATCATGTTCTGTTGTAACGGATCTCACTGTAGTCATTGTCTCGATTGAAATTATATTGATAAACAGTTTCAATAGCACGGAAATGTTTTCTTACCTATTATCTTATTATTATTATTATTATCTAAAACAATCGAATATGTTAGAAAGCGTTTATAGAAATTTAATTAGAAGAACAAAAGTATGTATTCGGCAACGCGGCCAACATTTTCATAAATTTCTGTAATAATAAACTTTATGATTACTTCAACATTCTATGTCATTACGTGTTCTTAATTTTCCGTTACGATAAAAACAGACTTAAACTGCGATAATAACTATCGAGATAACGATCTACAGTGAGAAAATTCATAGTCGATTTTCTCAGAAACAAGCCTGCTATGGAAAATTGTTATTCTATTTTTTTATTTTTTCTTGCGGAATCACCCCCTTTTCGCTCGTACCACCAGTTACCGAACACCCTGTACATTTCTAACCCTTTTCACTTAGGTGTCCCTTATGAAGGGACATCGTAAGTCTAACAAATTTTGTTAGTGACACCACTGCAAACATAAATCGCTTATGTTTAAACTTCGTTGGCTTAAACTTTACTAACTCACTAAAACTTATGTTTTTGCCTTTAAACTTTATATTTAAAGAATTTATGATTGCAGTCGTGTCAATGATTCAAGAAAGCTATTTGAATTTATAATCAAGTCCAATAATACCACAAAAGACAAGTTTCCAGAGTTAGATTATTTTATGTAATGCGATTCCTATTTGCATATTTTGGAACGAGATGGCGCAGAGTGCAAAGGGCTAACTTTCTTAGCGCCTTCCATTCTTCCTTATAACTCGTAAAATATTAGGTGCAAAAAGGTGATGGAGAAGCGTTTGAGCATCTTCTTCAATAAAGACATTTTTTGAAAATATATAAGAAAGAAAAGAAATATATAAAAAAAATATATAAAAGAAGATAAAGTCAGAAATGATGCAATCGTTAATTGCATATGTACTGCTGTATCTAAAAGTGGTCTTTGAACCATTTATCTTTCTCCTTTGGCATTTTTTCGTAAATGCAATAATAACGGAGTTATGACTTGAAACAATTCCGTGGACCAGCCTGTATATCCTCCCGAAGAATAGTCGCGATACGATTACGCAAACTTTAACCTCGATTTTCAGTGAAGAACATTATTGAGGTAGATTTTTTCGTAGCGTAGAATGACGCGTGACAAACACACGACATGGAATTTCTGTCCAGCCCTCTAGAAAGGAAAAGTTAGGGAGCTGATTAAAAGAAGGAATCTAAATAGCGTTCGAAAGGAGGAAAATCGCTGTCTCGATGAAAGAAAATGAATGATCGGGGTGATCGATGTAACCCGTTCGGTTCGATTGATTCCGCGCGGCAATTTAGGGAGCCGCGAAATGGCAGCATCCGGCGCTCTTCTCGAGGAGCCAATCGTGATCACGTTCGGCTCGTTTCTTCGGTGATTCCAGCGCCGACGGCAACTACGAGGTGACGCTGATGACCAAGGCTACGGTCTACTATTCGGGATTGGTCGTCTGGCAACCGCCGGCCGTATATAAATCTTCCTGCTCCATCGACGTTGAGTTCTTTCCATACGACGTACAGACCTGTGTTTTGAAGTTAGGCTCCTGGACTTATGACGGTTTTAAGGTGCCATGTAAAAGCAACGAGCACGATCGCCAGATTGAACCTTTTTGCTCGTCATATATGATCGGTCTTCCCAGTTTGTTCTCCTTGGTTATTTCTTTCCTTTTTTGTGTTCCATCAGAGAATGCCACCTTGACATAACCCGTAATCGTTTCTGCGATGCGCTGGTCTTGGACGTCATACGTCATATTTATATATTATCTATATATTAAATATATATATATATATATTTCAATATTGTTACTTGGTGTGGACTGCAGTGTTATTTGATTGACATTCGTCGTGACGTCGTACGGTCAGCTCGTTTTTATATATTATTCTGCGGTGTGCTCGAACGATCCTACAGGCTCGCATATTTGAAATCGATCGTTGAAAACAACTTTCGTCCTCGTTTTTGCGAGAATCTAGAATATCCGCTTCCGTGGAATCGGACGGGAACGATCTAGAACTTATCGATTAATCGTTTCGAAGTCGAGAAATGAAACGTTGCCTAGCTTTCTTACGTCTTTTCTGTAATTTCTCGCGAGACTATCAGGTCTGGATTCTCGTCTCGACGAACGACTCGAAAGAGTGATGCATCGAAGGTTTTAAAGGATACCTGGATATCACGAATCCGTGAATCGAGGTGAAAAGAATCCGCTTCGAAGCGTATCCAAGCTGGTCAGTCGCATTGCTCTTTGATATTAGCAGCTCCATGGAAAGATTTAACGTTAGATCGTGGGATTGGATTGTTACTAAACTTAGGGTATACGAACTCTATGTACATAACACACGTGGACAGGGTACACGAACACGTGACTTTTCAAATTCTTTTTAAATCAGACATGTCAAACACACGCTGAAATATTTTCTGTAGCGGGGAAATGACTTAACTCGTGTAGATGCACTTGTAGATTTACCAAATACTAAATTCGATTCATGTATGAACATTCGGGCAAATCGTTCAAAAAGTTTCCATTTTAACACGTTCGCGACCGCCAGGTATTTTACGTTTCTAATACCGAGTACTTACGTAAATAATAAAATTCTGAAGCAGGACATCGGAAATATGTATCCTACGGCGATGATAAAAATGACGAAATATGTTTTGAAATGTCAATGTTGTAAATATGTACTGTATAAAATAAAAAGATTTTCATAATTTTTTCATAACCAGGAATAGACTTCGAAGTGACGTGAATTCACGTCTGCGGTCGCGAATGTGTTAATACGATAACAAAAATGCAGAACCTTTGAAACTTGTTTCGAACTTTTTTATCACGGTTCAATTTGTTCGTTCAAACATTATTTTGTGTTTCGAGTTCGTTGAGGAAATTAATGATGCGAATATTGACAACGTCTACATATATACTATACACATTGTAGTACGTAGGTTTACGCAGCAATAAAAAAGAACGGTTCAAACTATTCTCAGATGTTTCATCTCGATGATATGTGAACTTGAACGTAATTGGCTATATGAGGAAGTTTCCTAAACCTATTTGTACCAGAAGAAATGAAACGAAGGAAATCAGAATACTTTGGACTCACTTTATCTGTAACGTTTCGAAAGCTACGAAACGAGCGTATAAAAATTTTTACGTGCTAGTGATTAACAATAAAGATTGACTACTCATAGCACTACCATTCGAACGACAATGTAGAATGAAATTTACACGATCAATATAATGCCACTCCACCCAAAAATAATAAGATAAGTTGGAGAATTTTTTTCAGAAATTTATTAAAAGCAGTGAAAAATTCAAGTAGGCTATTTTATTTAATGCGTATTAATGTTCAAAAGCAGAATTTTTTTATATGTTTTTCTTCTAAAATGGCGGCTTCAGTACACAAAATTTCAAAGCATCTTTTACGCGAGGCCTCAAACGAGCGAAACGATTGAGCACACAGATTTAAACCTAGAACAAAAAAACCGAAAATTTTCTGCAAATATATCGCAAAAGCTAGTGAACAGTGTGTGGAAATTTGAAAATATTGTTTTCTCACAAAATGGTGCATAAATAAAGAAAAAAATGAACTATTTTCCGAAAGTTTTATCGAAAAATTGTAAAAGTTTACAACTTATAGCAAGATCCATACACTATCCACTAGATGGTATATTAGAGATGTCGCCCTCAAAATTTTAGGAGAATCGGACAAGATTTGTAGGAGTTATCGTTTCGCACGATTTGAAAAATGGAGTTCTGTGAAAAACGTTCTGTGTTCTCGCCGCATCGTGCGTCCTACAAGATGCCTTGGGAAAACATTCGAAAATGACCTCTTGAGATTTCCGCGGGCTATGAAATATTTGTTTTCGTATTCTGAAAGCTTTAACCCTTTATTTATCCTATTTCTCAAAAGTTTTTAAAATCTAGAAGTCCATCTGGGTCTTACAGTGGGTGTAGAAAGTATTCGTACACCGATCAATTTCCAAAAAAACTATGTAAAGTTGTAATTTATTAACTTATTTTTTATAAACAATGATATTCTACATATTCTTGGAAATCTGTAGAATAGATAGATTACAAAAAAAAATAGCTATTTATGTAAATTGCGAAATTAACAAGAAAAAAAACAATTAATCGATCGAAATGTTGAAGCAATAAGTATTCGCACAGCTGTTTAATGTTTAAAACTTCATTAAAAAAAAAAAGAAATTCACA